CCAGAGACCCTCCCCGCCCAAAGGAGCCAGGACCAGGGTGGCGACTCTCCGAAGGCTTGGCCCGCCGTCTCCGCCAACACATGGCACCCCCAGCCCCTGCCACGCCCAGCAAGAGCAGCGCCAGCCCCCCTGCTGCCCCAGCCACTGCGGGTATGCTGGGAGGGGGCAGGGGGCCTTCAGCACCCCTGGAGGTTGCATTGCTTGTGGGGTCACCTGGCGGGGAAGGGGTGAAGGAGGAAAGAGGGGAGGGGCTGAAGAAGCCACCTGGACATCTGAATACCCAGCCTTGGGGGTCCCCATGGGCTTCCCCCGTGGTGCCCAGACCCCTTGGGGACCCCACTTGCCTCCCCACCCCAGCCCCACTCAGAATCCAGGTGTCCAGCCCTGCGGTTCCCTGCCACATCGTCCTCCCCACTTCTCTGACAGCACTGATTGAAGCACTGACTTGGCTAATTAGTTCTAATTGAGTCTTTTCCTCATTTGGCTTCCATTCCCCTCCCACCCTCCCATCCTCTCTTCTCTTTCCTGTTTCACCACCCCCAAAACAGGAGAGAGGGAGAGGGCGAAGGCAGGGCAGCTGGGGTCTCAGAGTAGAGAGGACAGGGGGCCAGCCCTGACTCCTACCTGGCGTGTTCTCCTTCCCAGGCTCCAGGCTGTGAGCTGCCCCTCTGTCTCTCTCCATGGGCATTTCAGACACAGGTTTACGGGGGATAGCTCCTCCTCGGGGACCTGATGATGGGGAAGACCCAAGAGAAAGGGACTGAAACAACTGCCCTGACCATTTCTCCAAGTACTGACTGAATTCCCTCTGCCTCCAGCAAGTATCCTCCAGCCCCACTCACTCTGTCCCACTCGGAGAAGCACCTTCATGCCTCTGGTTAGGCACACGCCACCCTGCAAGCTCTCCAGGCCTTCCCGGGTTCCATCAGATGTGGCTGGAAGAGAAGAGCAGAGGGAGAGTTTGGCACCCTAAAGTCTAACCTCTATTCTGATCCCACGTCCTGGCAGGAACACCACTGAGGGTCTAGGGTCATCCTCTTAATTCTAATGAGCACCCCCCCATCAACCCTCCATCCCAGGGACTACTCTCACTCGACCCTGCCCACTGCCCAGCAGTACCAATGATGTAGTAATCGTGGTGTGAGCGGAATTCGTGGCCCCAGAGGTTAGGGCTGTACTCCTGGAACTTGATGGTGAAGCGGAGATCCAGGTCTGGCCGGTCACAGGTGAGAAGGAGGTTTGGGGCAGGGGGTGCCTCGCAGCGCCGGCCCTGGGCACCCCCTACCAGGTATAGCTTATAGAACTCATAATTAGGAGAGGAGTGGGGGCCAGGAGGCCGGGACCGGGGGCAAAGCAGGTCTAGCCGGTCCCCGATCTGAGGGTACAGCACATAACCACCCTCTGCCTGGAACCTGTGGGGAGAAAGGCCAGGTGGACAAGGAAGGGATACCAAGGGTGTGGCCCCAAAAGCTTTCCTTTCCTCACCCCTCCAGGACAACAATTCTCAGGCTCCCATCTGCCTGTCTTTGTCTGAGTGGAAAGTCTGTTCTGTGAGCTTGGGTACCAAGGGCTCTGAGAGCTCACATCAGAAGCAGCAGGAAGCCAGGCTCAGAGGTCTCCTGCCCCTTGGTGTGCCCAAATGCACTCTTCAGCCCGCCCTCACCACATGCACACTGCCATCTCCCGCTCCATCACCAGTGCCGTTGCCATGGTAACAGGATGCCAGTTACCAAGGAGCTGGCCTCTCTGGAACCACACAGCCCACCCCTCCCAGGTGATTTCACTATTCCATGGCAGTCAACCATGGGGGCAGAGCCTCCCATCCTCCACCCCACACTGAATTTCAGGGATTTCAGGCAAAGGGGATGAAGTGGAGGTAAAGAGTATATAGAAGATACTCCTGACCAGTGTCCCAAGTTAGCCATTAATGGGACAGGAGGCAAATGCTTATCTTAGCAATGGCCCCAAATGGGAGCTAAAGGGAACCAAGGTGTGGGAACCAGCTTGCCTGAGTCATTCCCCTACTCAGTCCCCTACCGTGGGGCTCAGACTTCCTGGGTAAAGTGCTCTATTGCTTTGGAGTTGAAGTAGTTGATTTTCCTAACCACAACCAACACAACCCAGCATCTCCTAAAAGTGGGAGGCTGGGGAACCCATGGGCCCAGAATAGCCATAACTTGCCAACCACTGCAGCCCCTCCCTGGAGATCCCTTCCCTAGAGACAGGGTCTCAAGCTAAGTGCCAGGGACTACTGCCCATTATCTTCCTAGACTACCACATGATCCACTCCTTCTCCCCTGACAATCAGAAGAGCCCCACCACTCCAAACTGCCTTTTCTCAACCCTATCAGAGTAAGTCTTAATTTATGTCCTCAAACTATAACTGATACTCAAGTTGCAGTCAGCCTTAGTACAGAAAAATATTGAGATTACCCCCAAAGAGATATAGGAGGGAGGGAAAGATGCCAGAACCGGGAAGTGATAAGAGTCTGAGAAGTAAAGAGAATAACAATAATCCTAGCTCTCCTTTCATGAACATATAATATGTTCAAACACCTTACCTCTAATCCTCATAACAGCTGTAAGAATTGAGGATATAAACTCAGAAAGGTTAAGTGATATGCCCAAGGCAACACAGCTGAAAGGGGCAGAGCTAGGATTAAGACCATTGACTTGATGAGCTCCGAAGCCCACCCTCTACCTCCCATGGCCTCCCACCCACAGCCTACCCAGGGAAACGAGTTTTTTTTAAACACAAAACTCTTTTGCTAAAGGGAAGGAGAACTGCCTGGAGGCAAAGGGACCCAGAGGACCTCCCAAAGGTTCTGTCCTACCCTGTATGGCTTGAAGTTTCATGTGACCCTTGGCCTCTTTTCAGAGCAAAGCAAGCATGCCCTGGAACAGAGGCCCTGATGGAAGAGTCCGCAGCAAAGACAGGGGGAGGTGGCCACAGGGAACTCAGGACTCCAGAGACAAGAGGGAAGGAAGGAAGCTGGAATGGGCTCACTGTTTCTTCTACAAAGAAGCCCCAAGCCAGGAAGGCAGGCATGTGTTCTGGCCAGAAAACTGTTCAGCCAAGGGCTCACCCACCTTCTGGTTGTGGTAAAGAGTTGGGAGACAGACTGAAGAGTCAAGGAGCCTTGGGGAAATTGTTCCAAGAGCCCCCTAACTGAGCCCCCTTTCCTCCCATCTCCAATGCCGAGTCCCTTGTGGGAGAGAGGCACCCCTGCCTTCCCCTCAGCGCCTCAGCAGCACCTACTCAACGGCTCTCTCATGAGAGCTGACATTATCCAGGCTTCCTCAAATCCCGCCCACCCCCACACACACGCAGGTTTCCCACAGATCCAAATAACCACTCCACTGCCCTCCTGCTGCCCATAAACTTTTTGTCTTTGCCCCTTTGGGGTCTCCAAACTCCTTACACACGGACATCACCACCCATCTCTAGCTGTGTGGGACCCAGGAATCTGGCTCCCAAGACCACTGGTCTCCGTAACCCAGCCCGGCATATCAGGGCTCTAGCACCTTTCTCCAGCCTCACAGAACCGAGGCCCCAGGTCCCCAAAGCTCCCACACGCACTTGGCCCTGCCCTTAGGTTCTGGGGTATCCCCAACCTCAGACTGCTCACCTCTTATTCGCCGAGTTCCAGTAGACAGGCTCCAGGCTGAGCCCAGACACCAGCCCCCAAAACGCCAGAAGCAGCAGGGCCCCGACTTGCACACCCCCCAGCCCAGAACGGGGGGCCCCCATGACCCCGCCAAGGCCTGGGGGGCGGGGCACCAACTCCCCCAAAGTCGCTCACCCCCAGGGGTGATTGCCTCCTTTGGCGGACTGTTCAGCTCCGGTCACCCCGTGGGTGGCTGGTGCCCCCAACTCCCACGCGGACCTGCTTCCTGCTGTCCCCGCGTCCCCGGCTCCAGAGCGCTCAGCCCAAGAGCCCTCGCAAGGGCTGTCTGCAGGCGCCCTTCGCGCCCCTAGCCCACGCGCCAGCACCCCGAGATTTGTGCGCCAGCCTAAGTGGGGGGCTGGGGGAGCCAGGGTCCAGGCGGGGGCAACATGGGGCGTCAGGAGAGGGAGCAAAGAAGGGGACGCCGAGCCGAAGCCCCAGCCTCGCCGGGATTGAGGGCAGCGGGCTAAGGGAGGAAACCAGTCCCGAGCCCAGGAGGGGGGAGTTAAAGGAGAGGAGGGGAGGGGGAGAGTATGGTGGAGGGAAAAACCGGAGCTGGAGCTCAGTCGGAGCGGGCGGCAGCATCCCATGGCCCACGCCCCCCACACCTCCCTCACCTCGCTCACCTCCCGCCCACGGC